TGATGAAGTATTAAATCGTTTACGTTGTTGAAAACAGTGAAAAACAAATCATCATATAAATGAAACGTAGCAAACGTTCGTATTTATCAAAACAAATATTTCGAAGAAATGAGTAAATTTATTGAGTTCTTTATGTTGAACGTCAAAATATTGGCGGTTGAAGAGAACATTCTGAAAAAATGTGAATAATAAAAAATACATTTGTACATTTTTATTTTATATTATCGTATTATGTTTTGTTTTTCTCTACATTTATAGAGATTTTAAAATACGAAATCAAAATTTTGCGATAAAAACAAAGGATTTATTACGAAATGTAGCATGTATCACACACATTTTGTTTCACACACATTTTTATTTTAAAACATATTTCTGCTTTTAATTTTGCATTTAAATGTTTGTAAACATATTTTTTCGTTTTTATTCTTTTGATCCGGTATATAACTAATATATAAATGATACAATACGTTAAGATAAATTCATGTAGATGTCTGCAAATATGTATGTGCCGTTTTCAAATATGCTCAAGTATTGTGAGATCCGCGGCTTCGTAAGAGTACTAACAATTCTGAAGATGCTTTAACAATTGCTAACAATTCTGAAGACAGCGGCGCTTTAACAAGCATCCGTGCTTCAAAATGTACAATTGAGTATTGGGTCGAGGGCCATTGCTACCTGCGCGCGATTTCCTACGCATAGCGGCCGCATGGTCGATGACCCAAAGGATGTGCTAACGGATTGTAACATGCGACCGAATAAAGAGAGAGACTCTCGAAGACGTCGCTCGTGAATGCCTTCCGGCAACGCGATTAATGACTTTGTTAGGCTCGTTGCTCATTTAGCATTAAATATCAAAAATATAGTTCACTATGCAGTGTATTAGATCTAATCAGCTTTTATAGCAATTTCTCAATTTTTTACATTTTTAACTACTTTTATATTTCAATTTGTAAATATGTTTGAGCAAAATTTATTTCAAATTGGATAAATAATAACATATTTATTTGCACTTTTAAAGTTTAATTTTGAAAAAAAAAAAAAAAAAAGCCTCTTTTTACTTTTAATCGCTTAAAAGCTTAAAAGTATTGCTTGTCTGGTTCTCAACGTTTTTGTGAAGATAGTAATCCATAATAATACAATAATATTTCTATAAATAAAAGACGTATTTATATATTACTTTTGCGTTTATCTAAAAAAGTTGAAGAAATTAAGATTATAAATTAATTTAAACAATTTAAATGCCCAAACTGTCCTCGAATATCACAGCCTTACGTGAAATTATTGATAACTTTTCCGAGATACCAAACGCCAGTGATATTTTCTCGCGTTTGAAATAAGAAGTGCTCGTAACTGTTATATACACATGTGCATATATCATTTTTGGTACACCTTGTACATACATATATAAATATATATGTGCACCGCGCGACCATACACATAGGTAGTCCTGTCACGCACGTCGTGCGCAGTCCTGACCACATCGCGGCTCTGCGCCGTGTGCACGGTCCATATATGCAGCACTAGGTGCACTCCCGTATATCAGCGCGCATTCTCTCGCATATAGACACGCACACAAGCATACGCAGTCATATCCTCGCGAGTTGGCACGTGTATTTGCGGCAGGCGTGCACTATTCGCTCGCACACTTTTGTGCCGACGGTCCCGCGTAACCGTATGCTGGCGCGCCCAAACAAGCCGAGGTGTTCATGCCGGAGCCTGAAATAGAAGCGTGTGATAAGGGGAAACAGGAAGAGAGAATAGGGAAAATAGGCGACAGCACGCTGTATTTTATGAGTGGATGACGAGAGTACACGTATATAGAAATAATGATCAAAGCTTATCATGCTTTGCACGGAACGTGCCTGTTTATATACTACAAATAGTGGATTATTATTAAATAATTATATTTTATTGTTGTATTCATTGCGATTATTATTCCTTTTAAAAAGCGGAAGAATATTAGAAATTTTATTATTTGTGATGACTCTTAAAACAAATTTTACTTTTAAATTAGATAACAAAGAGTCAAAAAAAGGAATAAAAAATTATTTGACGTGTTTATTGGTCTAAAATACTCAAAATGTGTGTGTTTTTAAATAGAAAATTTAGTAAAGGGAACAATTAACATATAAATTAATGTTTATGCAATGCACATGTTGCATATATGTATTGTACTTGTTTTTATATGAAAAGCGTGTTCTAATTAGGATCATGCTTTAATGAGGTTTATGCTAATAACATAATTATTCGTTGATGCTGTCGAGCCTATCGACGACGGGATGCACCACGCAATGCGGAATCCTCATAAAAATCTGCGTACCGTTAACGGAAAGGAGATCAACGATCAGTCGCACGGCGACTTTCGCATCGGGTTACTCGTTTCGTTCTTGTAAACTTTTTGCTTGTTTTATTGAGCAGTAAAGCGAAATATCTCATCTAAAAGTTCGATGTTCGGGATTCAATGTCGCGCGCGCGTTTATCCGCTTGCGGTCGCCGCTGTCGCGCTGAAACGAGAGTGAAAAAGGCATGAAGTAATAGAATTTAATGAATAGGGTAAGAGGGGCGGAAGGGAAGGGTCGTATACGAGCACGAAATCCTCTCGACGGCAGAAACGATCGAATGACTATCGTATCGTCGCTTTTTATTCCCTTCGAGGAAATAGAGTTACACGTGTCGTCTCACACAGATTATCGTGGAGTCATCACAACTCCAAATCCCTCACGGATTGAATAAATTTCTTTCTCCAATTCGCGCACGGAAATTATTTGTATTTAAAATTATTTATTTTATCAGTGACAAATTCTTAATTTTCTAAGTAGTACAGAAAATTTCTCGACTCTATCAACTGGTAAAAGTCGCAGATAGATATCAGATTAATCCTACTAGTAATAAATTCCTTTTTGAACAGAAATTCGTTTCGAATTTATACAAGATGCACATCTATTCACATGATTTATTTTATTACATTAATAATAAATGTGTTCAATGTTTTGAGTAATGTAAGAATTTCTTGAAAATGGAAATAACTCTTCCAAGCCGATTATTCCCTGAACTGATGAAATACATATAAATATTAAGTACCAATGAATAATTTATTACGTTAAATTAATAATAATTAATTGGTAATTTTTTAAGTAGCGCAAGATTTTTGCGAAAATAAATTTCTAATGAATATAATTTGATGATTTTATAAATTAATAAGACAGTTTGATGGTTTTATTATATTAAGACCAGTAATGAATTTTCTACCGATTTAGATGATAGATTCTGATCTCTTAATATATGAATAATTTGTCACATTATATTAATAGTTTCTAATATAACAATTAATCAAGTTTCTTATAATTTCGCAAGAATTCCTTGAAAATGGAAAATTTTTCGAGATCGGCGAGTAAAACCGGACTAAACCGGTGCCGGTAAAACTCACGGATTGCTATTGGATTAATGTCGGTAATATCTAGAAAGGGAACGCAATCGAAGATAGCGCGTTTACGGCTGTTTTTCTTGTCAGGAATAACGGCCTGACGTTATTCCGGCATCTTTTGTGTAAAAAGAACCGCTTCCGGCGACGTAGCCGTGGTAAAATAGCAATCGCGCGAAAGCCAACGGCGATATAAATCGTGCAGAGCTCGAGGAAAGCCGAGCTGTAAAACAATTGTATACAATCGTGATGTAGCATTTTTTTTATTTTATTAGTAATTGTCAATGCACCCTATTGTTCGCTTTTACAAAGGTTTAACTCCGTCAAGTTTAGCACAAATCAATTTAGTATTCATTCAGTTATAGTCGATTTTGTTATAGTGAAATATTGAATTTCTTTGTAAATATATTTGCTTGCGAAGTATTTTGATTGTGAACAGTTTAAACTTTTTAAAACTAATATATTATGGATTTTATAATTTTCTTATTATTAGATCTTTGAATGTCACATAAAAATATTTTTTACTTTTTATTATATTTATATTGATATTTTTTATTATTAATTTAAGAGTGCAAAATTAGTTATAATATTGTATATTCATATGTATATTGCATATGAATATCTTATGAATTAAATTGATTAAATGATTATATGTACGCTATTTATGTAAACTAAAACAATTCTAGCAGACTGTGTTAAATCTCAAGCGCAAATTATACCATGCGTTACAATTATGCGGTTTAATATTACACTTTCAACGTTTGTTTTCATACACACTTTTGCATATTCACTTACGACAAGGAAAGAACGCGATAAATGTAAAAATATTGTGAAAATTTCCACACCGACGTAAAAAAATCATCAGCAATATTTCTTTTAATGTTAGTGATTATTGCAAATGCTTTATCGATCGGTGAATAATTGCTAATTATTATTATATAAATGAGAGAAAATAGATTACAACTCAATATCTTATTCGGTTATATTTTGATTTTCGGCACTATGGAAAATATGTACAACCGCCGTCCATTCTTGGAACTCCTAAGAATACAAACACATTCTTCCTACTTCAAGGTTATCCGTACCGAGCGCTGCGCACGGTAAAATAGTCGTTGTCTGATATTCGAAGAGATTTGTGCGTGTTATCTCAGTATCGCGTTAGCTTTATTCGTACTCGAGTGTAGCGCAGCAAACGCGCTTCCAACGTTCTTGTTGACTAGAATTACGTTATCATTTTCAATTTATAGGAATCAATATTTAATGAGATTAGGTTATTAATTTTTCTCTCTCTCTCTCTCTCTCTCTCGACGACAAAGCGCTTAGTGGACTCTTTGGGTGACTATTTGCAGCGTCGATTAACTTTAACCGACGGTACAAACTTGTCGACAGAATTGCTAACATTAAGAGTGAAATATCGTTATCGAAGAAGAAAAATTTTAAACTTTGATCATATTTCATTCATGTTGGCAATTTTGCCGACAAGTTTGAACCGTAGGTTAAAGTTAATCGACGCTGGAAATAATCACTCTTTGTCCTGAATTTTGCTACCCCCTAGCGATTTGCGTGTGAACCTTTGTAACGCGTCTCCACTAGTCGCCAATTGTCCATTTTCGCACGTAGATGAATTTCGAAAGGCTTGAGAAAAAATTCGAACAATTATCATAACTATGTTGAAAGTAAGTATCTCACGAATGATAGTGATCTTTATCTCGATGCGATTAGCGGAGATTTCGTCAAATTTCTTTCCTCGACGAATGGCTTGACGATGTCTTGGCTACTTAACCTCGCGTGCATCTGCGTATCTGTGAATCCTCGCGTATGCATAAATTTCAAGAGAAATATCGGGCAATTATATCGCGATTGCATCGTGTTTGAAATGTGATGGTGAATAATGTGATACATTATGATTTATAGATCACTATATATGGATGTCATCATGAGTGCCGCATAAAGTTTCGGGCGATTATACAAGTATAGTGTCGCGAATATGAACCGCTGGTGTATCAGCGCGTTCGTTAATCGGCGAGCAACAACTGCTGCGTTTACACGAATTTCGGGAGTGTCGAAGAAAAGTATCGGTCGTAGTTTTATCGTGATTACGTTCTGTTTTTAATGTTGTGAGTTTCGCGAGTGATAGTGAGTATACTAAATGTATTACCGCATGTAAATATTCGCGGGAGTGTCGAAAAAAGTATCGGGCGATTGCTAAATTTAGATTGTCGCGAGTGCCGTGAGTGAATGATGATTAATCATCGAGGGAAAATCGAATCTTTGGATACGAAATGGAACGGGCAGGACATCAATGGACGGAAGACAAACAGCGGCACGACGACTGGTGAGTCTATGCGTTAATTATAATTATATATTAAATTTATCTTTGAAATAATTTAATATGATTTTATACAACAATAAAATCTCGTTTTTTATAAGTACATATAATGATAACTAAGAAATATTCATTAATATTTTTATTAAAAAGTTTTTATATTTCCACAATTTTTATATTACTTTATTTATATGAAAATAATATAAGAACAAAAACGTATATTGGCACATTATATTTTATATTAAAAATGTGCGCACAGAATTTTATTTTACTTATGAATTGTAAATTAGCGAAAATAGAATTATTATTATCGAGTATCGCTGATATAAGTATCAATCTGACCCAATCGATATATAACGAGATAGACATTAATTGACCACCGGCATTAACGGTTCAATTATTTTATGACTATCTGCATGTGTATGTAGCATGACCAGATATTGATTCCGGTTTTTTGTTTGTTTTTTTTTACGATGTAACGGAAATTCGTGACGCAAAATATTTGCCGTTATCAGTCAAACGCAAATCACGAACCAAAAATTTCGGACAAAACTACGTTCGAATTTATTTTTGTTAGACTGTACCTATCAATTACTTTTATTAAACGAGCTCTTCCATTGCGACGTGTTGATGAAAATCTATATCGACTGTCGGGATAAAGTTTTACGATTATGTTCATTATGTTTTTGCATTTGTTCTTTAGCTCTTTTGGTCCATTCATTTGACATTTGACATTCTTTCTGTTATATACGATCTCTATCATAACTCTGCAACGATTTGTACGTGTTTTGTTGCCGTTAAATACTTAACTATAAATTATGCGATCATGAGCGCATTAAATTCTACTATACTTTATCTATTGAAATTGTTCGCATTACATCATGCGACGCAATAGGCAAATGTAGAGTACGAGAACGAGACTCGGTGTGAGTGTTATTCTTCGTATCATAGAGTACGATAGATCGCGAGACGTTAGGCCTAGGATAGACACGTAACTCGCCTCATTAAACTCGACTCTCGCTTTTTAAACACGCCTCTGCTAAGAATGCTCTGCCTTTGCTTGTAGATACCATTTACGCAATACAGGAGATTTCGCTTTATTCATGCTCTAGTGTGAGATCATCTAATTTACGAAATTTCTTTCATGAAGTAGGATTTCATTCAGTTCATTGTTCCACGAGAAGAGTATTGTTTCGGATACGTCTAGTAATTATTTGCACGAGAATATTTTTCTTCTCTGTTTTTTACACTTTTACTTTTGTTACTTTCACGATGTGACAAAAAAATTAATGGATAAATAGAAATAAATTCATTCGTAATAAGAAATATTATTAGTGATTAATTATATTATAATTAGTCTTTTTTTTTATTTTTTGCGTAATAATATTCTTTGCATCATTACAATTTCTCTTTAAAAGACTTATTTGCGGTTGGAATATCGAATATTTCTGAATACACATTAACGTATGATAATTTTGTCTACTCGATAATTTTGATCAAAACTAAATGCTGTAAATTTTTCCATTACATATTTCCAATTTACATTGCAAATTTACCAGAAATTATAATTATTTTGCATTCTTTTGATGAAATGATATTCCGGTAAACGAATTAAAAGCTGTATACGTATTTTCATGCGCTTGTGCCACATGATAATCAAAATTAGTACATTGGTACAGCGAAAGATACACACAAAGCATTCCGGCCATAAATACTGATACTTTGGTCTATTTGGGGGAACATTCATTCGAAAATCGCTCATAAAATCCCATTTGCATCGTGGTCGAGGTAAAACCCAAATAAAGCATTATTGCTATTTGCTCGCATTAGTTGTTTCCGAATGAGACACTATTAATTCGTAAATATTCTGCCATATCTACTATGCACTTCCGCCGTATTTACATTTGTAAGTCCATATTCATATTCCACATTTAGATAAACGTTATTATCTCTAGTTTTGTTTACATCATATAAATCAAAGTCCATAACATTTGTGGAATGTACAAATTGTAGAATCATATATCTTAAAAAAAGGCATGTAAAATCGATATTCGCATTCATTGTTGCCGTTTTTTCGCGACGCCGATTAATCTCGATGCATGTTGTGCGTTACTTCGTGCTGTCGAGCGATTGTCAGTGCGAAAGTTGCATACTTTGACGGTTCATATTTGGAAAAAGTTAGTGCAGGTATTTTTTTTATTATTTTTGTATTTTATAAAAGCTAATACGTATATTTCTTTGTAATTAAAAGAATAAATAGCGCGCGTGTAGCGCACGCTTGTGTGTGTATTAAAAAATACAGATTGTAAACATTTTATAATTCTCGATTGCTCGATTCATGCTGATCGGAATGCATTCGACAGAAAAATTGCGCGTTTGTATGAATTTTTGATCTTGTTCTTGTCGAGAACGGTTATTCACCGTCGTGGGAATTTCTGTGCTACGTTGCATAATGAAAGGCGATACAGCCGAGGGAGTAATGTTACTAGCTTTATGGTGCGCGCGTACTCGTTATCTCGACGTCAGTGCACACTCGCGCGTTATACTTACGATACGATTGCTGAAAACGAAGTTTGCGGAATTGCCGTAACTGAGCAGAAACGGAAGAATGCGCGTCGACCGTTTTTGATGCCGATAACCCACGATAACCCTTCGACCCGCGAGCGTTTCACCTGTTCCCTGCGGACGGACATGATGTCGTCCCATTGTTCCGAGCCACGGTCGCTTTGCGACGCTCGTGATGTGACGCGATAGAAAGCACGATGAGACGCGCTCTTAAGTGGAACGATACAGCCTCGATATCTCGTCTGAATCGCGCCGTTTAACACTTTAAGCCCTGCAATGACGTTGCACAGCGTGACCCGCAAACTTGATTGCATCAACGATGCTGATTAGATCTGACTCTTCGATTTAACCATTTTTCTCTGCTTTGTATTTTAGATCAAAGAAAAAAGAAAGTTTAATTTATCTTCTGATTGCGCAGAATTTTCTCAAATAACAATTTATCTAATATTATTTGTTCTCTTTTTATTCAATGGAACAAATACTTTTGTTGATTTTGTTATAATTATGTACACTTAAAAATGAAATTATGAAATTTTAAAGAATAATCTGAAAAATATTATGGCTTAGCTATCGATTTGTGATACATTATTTAATGACATTTTATTCATTACATTACAGTGACCTTATTGTGGCATTTTCTAAAATAAGTGCAATGCGATAAAGTGAGACACAAATTTTTCGCGTAACTTGCAAAATTGTAATACATACCTAGTTGCCTTACTACTTTTACCAAGTCGAGTGTGTTAGTGTGCGAAAGCAGCGTTTGCAAGAATCGAGAGGCGAATTGTAGAAAGTTACCGTGTGACGAGATGCATTTTCTACGGTACCACAAGTTTCGACGTACTATAAGACTTTATTGAATAAGAAAGAAATTACGTAGGACGGATATATGCATGACGTCACGCTATAGGACTGTACTGCAATTACTGCGAATTGGCCTTCAAGACTCGTTTAGTACAATAACGTTTTACTGATTACAGCTGTGGATTAAATATCAGATATCTGAATAACTAAAACGCAACTAAAACATGCTTTGGAAAATATACACTCGGTTGTATTGTTTATATGAGATCATTTTACGGGAAATCACAAATGCATTTATACACTATTTATTCGATCGGGGTGCAGATTTAATGTGGAAATTTTCTAAAGCTATTCAGTATCGGGGTGCATGTGAAATTTGACACACACAGCTTTCATACTGTTTTTATTTTTAAAAAATATAGTTTTGTTACTGCATTTTTTCAAATTGCTTCAAAAGTTTTTATTTATTTGATAAAATCTATTTTTATCTCACTTTGACTTGAGTTTTTAATTGAATTTATCATTGAAAATTAAAACTATTAACATTTCAAGTACCTATATATAATATACAATACATTAGTAATACTGCTAGCAATTTTTCTATCATAGAAAGAGGATAAATATTTGTATTTTTTTTTGCATTTCTTTTTATTTCACACTTCACATAAAACATCACACACTCATGTTATATCACATATAATCTTAAAACATTATTTTATTTTTTAAATATCTTCAAAATTGCTTAACACGTTACAATTATACACTGTATTTTACAAACACGTGAACTCGGAAAGGTCTCCTCTGTTAAATAAGCAAACAGACGAACGGGATTAGTACTGCATCACGTAGACGCAACTGTACTCGCGCGTACGCGTATGATAGATATATCGACGAGTTTGCCATTGTGAGCATGCGGGTAAATGAAAAGCTACGAGCGAGCGACGTGACTCCGATGTGTCACGTCTTTGAATTCTGCCTCTCGTGATCTGTTTTTGCAACCTCTCTTTCTCTCTGCTCTCGTTAATCTACCGGAAAATCTCACTCCAGCGCATCATCCTTTTCGCATCGAAAACTCTGCTGAGAAATCGGACTGTAGCTTAGAGCTGTAGATTCAGACAACTCTGAACTTCTGTCTAAACTTTAACTCTTTCTTTCCGATTTGAAATTTTATCGTTTAAAAAAATGGCGAGAAATCCGGTCAGGTCGTCGTTGTTACATAAGTTATCCACGTAAATTGGAAAAAAAATGGTGAAAAAGGGAACAGACATATGCCGCTTAAAACTGCAGCGAAAAATGGCGAGAATGTACAATGTTACCGGAAGTTCAACGAGGCGTGTTAAGGAACTTTTACAGAAAAAAGCTCTAGTTTTCCATACTCGCGTTAATAATCCTTTTACTTGCGCTCCCTCGCGCGAATAAAGCTCGAAAGCTTCCATAAAATTTTAACTTGATCACGCGCGGTACATTTATACGACTAAACCCGTTCGCTTTAACGACACTTGATAAAAAGGCGCATCGTGCGACCAGCAACAAATTTACTAGCTATTTCATGTTTACGGCGTGAAGAATATTTGTGACTTTTTGTGCGAATACACAGTTATATAAAGGATTGAATTAAGCTGATGGTATGAAACAGTGCA